TGAACATGGTTATTGTAATGGGCAGCACAGGCAAAGTGGTTTCTATGGTGGGATACTGGCTAATCATTCATTGTGTTTCAAGGAATGAAATAAATAAGCCTATTGCATTTTTGTTTGATCTGTGTAAGCAGAAAAATTCTCAAATAAATGAAGCTACATTGGATCATGGTAGGAGGGTATCTCCGTCTTTGATCGATTTCCAGACTTGAGATAGTTTGCAGACCCAGAACCCCTTGATTGAAGGGACTGCCAGGACTGCCAAGGAAGGCTCTTGATAAAATACCAGAAAGATTTACTGTTATCTTTTCTCCTATCCTTTCCCAGAGTGACTTACTTTTATAATGGTAATTGTACACTGGGGAAAGAAAGCAGACTTTCCTGAATCTGCTGGATACAGGTTCTGAATTGCCACTAATTCTGAGTAGCGCTAAGAAGCATTAGGATCCTCCACTTAGAGCAGGGGATTATGGAGATCAGGTGAATAATGGAGTTTCGACATTATGTGTGACTCACAGTAGGTCCTGTGGGTCCCAGAACTCATCCTGTGATTCTCCAGCAGCACCACCACCACCCAGTTCCAGAATAAATAATTGGAATAGATACACTTAGAAGTTGGCAGAATTCCCACATTGGTTCCCTGATCTGGAGAGTGAAGGCTGTTATGGTTGGAAATGCCAAGAGGAAGCCAGTGGAAAATAGTGAACCAAAACTATCATTACATCCCTGGAGGAATGGGAGGGGGTTCGGACCACATCTCTCTTTAACTCTCCTATCAGGACTGCAAAGAAAATAGATGGATCACGTAGAATGACAGTTTTCTATTGAAAACTCAATCAAGTGTTGAATCCAATTGCAGCTACTGTACAAGACGTGTCTTACCTGAACAAATTAACATATCTGGTACATGGTATGCAGCTATTGATCTAGCAAATGATTTTTTCTCTCAGTATCTGCCCATAAAGACTATCAGAAGTAATTTGCTTTTAGTTGGCAAGTCCAGCAGTATACTTTTACAGTTGTACCTCAAGGGTATAGTAACTCTCCAGCCCTGTGCATTACCTAGTTTGCAGGGTTCTTCATCTTTCATCTCTTTGACATAATATCATACTCATTCATTATACTGAGGACATTATGGCGATTGGACCAAGTGAGCAGGACACAGCAACTACATTGACCTTGCTGGTACATATGTGCATGGGAAGTAAATCCATCCAAAATTCAAAGGCCTTTGAACTCATTCAAATTTCTAGGAGTCCAAGGCTGTGGGCTATATAGAGATATTCTTTTTAAGGGAAAGGGTAAGTTATTGCACTTGGCCCCTCCCACCACCAAGAAAGAAGCACGTTTATTGTTCATATTTGTATTCTGGAAACAGATCATTCCTCACTTGGGTACATTAATCCAACCCATATACTAAATGACTCAGAAAGCTTATAGTTTTGTGTAGGGCCTAGAATAGGAAAAGGCTCTTCAACAGGTCAAGGCTGCTATGAAGACTGCTTTACTACTTGGAGCATATGATCCAACAGACTCAATGGTACTTGGGATGCCAGTGGCAGATTGGGATGCTATTTGGAACCTTAGGCCCTTATATGTGAATCACAGAAGAGACTTGGGATTTTGGAGTGATGACATAACCATCATCTGCAGACAACTTTTCTCCCTTTGAGAGACAACTCATGTCCTGCTATTGGGCCTTAATGGAAAATGAATGCTTGGCAATGGCCTACCAACTTACCATGCAACCTGAACTTCCCATCATGATGTGGGTATTATCCGATCCATCATCCATAACCTAGGATATGAACAGCAGCAATCCATTATCTAATGGAAGTGGCACACATTGCCTCATGGGCTGTGTCCTGATTGGTTAACTGACAAAGAGATGACTAGAGCCTGTTTTACTGTTATGTAGGCACCACCCAGAAATGGACGGCTACAGCATTACAACCCCTTTCTGGAACAATCCAGAAAGACACTGGTAAAGGGAAATCTTCACAGTGGACAGAAGTTTGGACAGTACACATGCTTGTACATTTTGTTTAGAAGGAGAAATGTCCAGATGTTCAATTCACTGACTGATGGGCTATAGTCAGTGGATTGACTGGATTGTCAGGCACTTGGAAAGAGTGTGATTGTGGAAAATCGGTGAGAAAGATATCTGGTAAAGGATGTGGATAGATCTTTCCAAATGGGCAAAGGATATGAAGATACTTGTGCCCCAGTGTAATATTCATTGAAAGGTGACTTCATCTGAGGAGGAGTTCAGTCATCAAGTAGATAAAATGACCTGTTTGGTGAACCGTCAGCCTTTTTACCTAGCCATCCCTCTCATTACTCTATTGGCCCATGAATACAGTGGCCATGGTTGCAGAGGCTGAGGGAATACCTGGGCTTGACAACGTGGACTTCCACTCACTGATGCTGGCCAGGCTACAGTTGCTGCTGAGTGCCAGCTCTGCCTATAGCAGAGACCAGCACTGAGCCACTGATATGACACTATTCCCTGAGGTGACTAGCCAGAGACCTGGTGACAGAGTTACTATATTGGGCCCTTTCCTTCATAGACTGGACAGTGCTTTGTTCTTACTGGAGTAAATACTTATTCTGGTTATGGATTTGTCATTCCTGCATGTAATTTTCTAAAATACATATTGTGTTTGCAGTTGTACATGGGAGAGTTATGTCATGTTAGGTATAATTATAAACTGATTATTGTTTTCATTTGGAAAATCAGAATGACATAGGGGATATCATTGGGTGTCATGTTGATAAACGGTGGACTTGTGATGGCTAATTTTGGTTATCAAGTTGACTGTATCTGGGTTCAACTAAAACCCAAGCAGCTGACCACACCTGTGAGGGATTGTTTTGATTGTATCATTTGAAGTGGGAAGACCCAACCTATAAGTCTAGACCATTTGAGATCAGAAGACCTATCCTAAATCGGAGCTCCATCTTTTGCCACACCTTTTGGTGGCAGCTTGTCTAAAAGGACACGGAAGAAGGAAGCTCTTTGCTTTGTGTGCTTCCCCTCACTCTTGCTGGCAAGTTCATCTATCCTGTTGCTGAGACATTCTCTGCTCATATTAGAGCCTACTTCTTTTGGATTTTAACTTATACTGGAGACCAGCTAAGACATCCCAGCCTTGAGGACTGAACAACTATTGGATGCTTGGAATTTCCATCAGGAGATGTTTTTGAATGTATTAAATCTGCTTTCACTGAAAACCCCATCCATGTCCAAGCTTTTGCTTTCAGCCACAAAACTATGTAATGGAACTCGGGAATATTTTGCTGTAGTCACTCTAAGACTTACCATTTCTGTTGCTTTTCCTTCATTTTTAATATTTTCCACTTTTTATCATTCTTCCATCTGTTTGAAGATTTTCTTTCCCACTTCCTTTTGGTTGCATTTACTGGCTGTAGATCCGTCCCTTCAAATGAGGACGTCTTTTTATTTCAGCTTCCTTAGTGGGGGTCATGTTTAGGCAGCCACATTCGTGAGATTTTAGGAGGTATAGCTTTGGGCATTACCAGGAGATACAGTCTCACAGCAAACTCCCTGTCCCTCTGTCTCTTGCAGTCTTTCCGTCCCTCCCTCACAGTGTTCCCTGAGCTTAGGTGCAGGAATTGTTTGTAGTTGTGTCAGTTAAGACTGGGATCCACAACTTTACATTTTGATTGGCTGTAGGTTTCTACATTGGTCATTGTCTGTTACAGAGAAGTTTTTTTGTTTGTTTGTTTTTTTGTTGAGGCGTGAGGACTGTACTGATCTCTGGGTGTAAGGACAAGTGTTTGAAATGTAGTTACGAGTTATGCAGGTTTAGTACTGTGGCAGTTGTTTCTCTTTACCACCACTTTTAATTTAAGTACACCAAGAGCTGTCTTGAACAGCTCTATTAATTTATAACAACTGTGGCATGAGCCTACTATTTTATAAATTAAAGGATATTTTATATATTTTTAAGTTTATGTTATGCTTTGACTTTAAATAAAATGTAGGGCAACTATCTAGGTATTTAAGGCCATATTGTTTAACATTTTGTAAGATTTTAAGGTATTTGCAAGGTCTTAAAATTACACTTAAGAAAAGTCAGTTTCAGATAATACCCAAGTTCTCATTAGAATAAGAGATGCCAATCGAAATGCAATCTGCTTCAAAGGTGCTTCCTGTTCTGTGTGAATGTATAGTGTTATTCACCATCACACTCACTGAACTGCTGTCCTGTTGTGCATGTGCATAAATGGGAGAATTCCTTTAGTTTGGAACTTTCTATTTCATTTCTGTTTTTCTGCCTCCCATAGTTAATTCAATTGCCAGGTGGCAATTCTTTCTGAATGTGTCCTTTCCTGTTTGTATTGATGGACATTTGGGTGATTTTTAAGTTTTGTTGTTACAGAGGATACCACAGTCAGTATTTTTATCTTTTTTTTGCACTTGTATATATGAATGTCTTTATATAATATACCAGAGATTTTCTACATTACAGTAGGAATATACTTGATTTTAATAATGTTATTACCCGGGTGGTGGTAGCGCACGCCTTTAATCCCAGCACTCAGGAGGCAGAGCCAGGTAGATCTCTGTGAGTTCGAGGCCAGCCTGGGCTACAGAGCGAGATCCAGGACAGGCACCAAAACTACACAGAGAAACCCTGTCTCAAAAAACCAAAATAATAATAATAATAATAATAATAATAATAATAATAATAGTGTTATTAACTTGTTCTTCATATGCTATACATATACATGTATAATTATAGTATTTAGAGTCTCATTTTCTTAACACTCACTGTTTTTAAAGTTAAGCCATTTAACTTTCTCCTTTTACACATACCAAATATCTTCATGTTGTAGTAGTTATTAAAAATGCTTCCTCAAGTCATTAATTATTAGTTTAATTAGATAAATACCTTTTAATGTAGTAGAATTAGTTTTTGCTTTTACTTGTGTGTTTCTCCTTTATTTTCATTGATTGTGGGTTCTCTCGTTTGTAGCTTTGGTTGAAGAAGTATATTTTGCACAGCGAGAACGCGATGAAGCTATTATGTGCAGACTGCAGTCAGCTCTTGAGGAGAGAGATGAAGCAGTTGCACGTGTGAAGCATATGGAAATGTCACTAAAACTGTGCGTATACACTTAAAATTGTGTGGGATAGAAATATTATACAGTGTATGGATGTATGTGGTAGTTACGTAGTCACATGTGTTACTGCTCCTTGTTATTACATCAAGACAATTCATATCCCTAGGATAGTTTCCTAAAATTCAGGCATGCTTGACCAGGATGTTAATCAAATCTTTAGGAAGAAAACTGGAATCCATGCTGTTAGTATGGTTACTTCTTTCGAGTTCTTTTGCCAGTATCTGTTGTCATACCCAACTTTCCCATGTGACTCTTCTCATCACCTCCCCTTAATATCAAGTTTTGTATTTGTTTGTTTGCACCATGGTTAGGTATGGGAGCTCATCTCTGTGTCTCCCTCTCAGCACTGGAGCCCCTTCTGGATGGAACCTGTGCAGGCCCTGTGCATGCTGCCATAGTCTCTATGAGATCATATGTGTGTCAGTCCTGTCGTGTCTGGACATCATTAGCAGAATTTCAAATGTTATTGATACAATAATTGAGTCTAAGTAGCTGCATTTTTGGTAACTCAGTTGATTCTATGTGGTAAATAAGACCATATTTAGAAATTCTAGAAATACTATTCAAATTTTTACATGTGAACCTAATTTCTTATTATTTTAAGGATACTTATTAGTTTATTGTGTTGGGGTGGGGAGGGTAGTTGAAGGTGTGAAGTAGGTATGGGTTTGTGTATGCTACCACAGCAGTGTGGTGGTCAGAAGACAATTTTTAGGAATTGATTATCCCCTTCCATTACTTAGGTCCTAGGGATCAGACATTTTCTTCATGGCTGTGATAGTCTTTGGATCTTAAATGTCTCCTCCCTAACACCTATATGTTAAAGGATTGGTTTCCATCCTGTGGCAGTATTGGGAGGTGATTAAACCTTCCAGAGCTATGATTATTAGAAAGTTAGGTCACAGCCGGGTGGTGGTGGCGCACGCCTTTAATCCCAGCACTCGGGAGGCAGAGCCAGGCGGATCTCTGTGAGTTCGAGGCCAGCCTGGGCTAACAAGTGAGTTCCAGGAAAAGGCGCAAAGGTACACAGAGAAACCCTGTCTCGAAAAACCAAAAAAAAAAAAAAAAAAAAAAAAAAAGAAAGTTAGGTCACTAGGGATATGCGACCAAGGGGAATATTAGGACCCCAATTCCTTCCCCTCTCTGTCTTGGCTTCTTTGTTACCTTAAGGTCAGCAGTTCCCACCTCAGCATGCTCCTGGCCTCATCTGAGCTCAACAGCAGTAGAGCCATATGACCTTGATCTAAAACCTCTGAAATTAGGGCTAAAGTAAACATTAGGCTCCTTTAAATTGATTGTCTCAGGCATTTAGTCACTTTGTCAGAAAGCTGAATAACAGCCTCAATGACATTCTTTATTCTTTTGGCTGCTAGTGGATATCTCAAGTAGTATATAGCTTGGCTATTGTGAATAACTCCACACTAATCAAAGGAATGTAGTTGTCTTTGACATATTGATTGTACTTTCTTTGTATATATACTCAAAAGTAGATAGTTGGTTCATATAATAGTTTTTTTAGATTCTTTACTATTGTCCTCTATAATTTATATATTGATTTATGTTCCTACCAGTAGTATATGAGCTCACATTTTTCTGCATTCTCATTTAGAATTTTTTTTTTCATTTTTGATTGGGATGAGATATCATTGAGGCGTTCATTTGTATTCTTTACTAGAAATGTTTAGCTATTTTTTGTATACTCAGTCACCACCTTAACCAGTAAGAAAACCAACCTTATTCCAAACATTGCATCTTTGTTTTTCTGTTTAAATATAAACCTAGTTATCTACAAAGATAGGTTCTTTGTGGTATATTGGTTTATCTATAAAATTAATTTTATAAAAGACATGTTATTGCTGCATACAGGTTTATTTGAGAGGAAGTGTAGTATAGAAAGTAAGAGTCCTGGATCCAGCAATGTGTCCTCAAAGCTTAGATTTGTTGCTTCCTCGCTATTTACCTACAGTATGATCAAATTACACAGGGTCTCTGGGACTCAGTAACTGATCCATCAAATAGATAAAATAAGGCCTACATAATATAAGTTATTACTTATTACAGAATTACAGTTCGCAATGGCAGAGGATAAATATTCTTATTCCAAAAGGGAGGATCAGGAGAATGGCAAGAGTAGACTGGAATAAAGCAAGACTTGACTTATACCCAGCAGGACAAATGTTAGATTCTGAAGCTCTGTGTTAGGCACCTGGGGCATATGGTCTCATGATATGAATTCCAGTGGGCTTGAGTTGATCCATCTTTATGGTGTTTTAGCTACTTTACTCATTGCTGTGAAGGAAATGCTTGAGAAAAGCAACTTAAAGACAGAAGGCTTTATTTGACATACAGTTTGACAGGATACAGTCTATTGTGATGGCAGAAGTGTGGTGGTAAGAGCTTAAGGCAGCCAACCAGTAGAGAAAGATAAATGCTGATACTCACCTTGGTTTCCCTTTTTCTTCATCCAGAGACCTCATGCTCACTAGCAGGGCACCTTTAGGCTGGTTCATATTACCTCAGTTAAGCCTGTCTAGAGAATCTCTCGTAGCTTTCATAAAAGCTAGTCTTCCAGGTGATGCTAGATTCTGTTAGGTCTACACTCAGTGTTAACAATAACAGTAATCCTGCAGTTAGCAACATATGTGGCCTCTCTGTTGTGCTGTCTCCATTCAGTGCCTACAGTTTTCTTTTGTAGATTTCCAATGTTCCTGTAATCTCCAACATTTTTGGGTTCTCTGTTGTAACTGACTTTGTACTCACAGGTTTTCACATGAGCTCCATAGAGGCTTATTGTAAAGAGTGTACCGAAGTTCCACATGTGTTAGCTTCCCAAGCTCTCTCATAAAACTTGATCCACACCTCTAGGCTGCACGACTCTTCCTAAGAGATGTGACTAAAGAAACAATTCCACCCATCTAGCTTAGTGAACTAATCAGTTTCATGGTGTTGATTGTAAGCATAAGCATAAAAGACATAGGTGGCTCAAAGGCAGCTCCATAGCTAAGCAGCCCACCCCAGCGTGGGTGATGACTTCCGAAAGCTATACCTCTAGAGCTGTCTGTACAACTTGCTTGTAATTCAGCTTGTCTGAGAATCTGTTCTCCCTAACAGCCATTACTGCTTTTAAAGCCTTAAGGAGTGGATCTGTAAATCCTGTAAGTCTCATTGACTTCACAAGTCTTTTGTGCCTCCCTCCACGAGGGGATATTTCAGTTCTGAGGAAATAGCTGCACAATATTCAAGGACCCCATAACTCATGCATTCTGGATGTCTGAAAAACCAGCATCATGTGCAAGACACCAAGTTCTGTTGCCAGCCCACTTGGACCTCTGCCTGATACGGCACTGAACTAGGAACAAAAGTTACACAGACCCAGGCATGGGGGTGTAGGTCTTTAATCCCAGAATTCCAGGGGCAAAGGCAGGTGGATCTTGGTGAATTTGTGGACAGCCTGGTTTATATAGTGAGTTATAGGCTAGCCAAGACTGCTTAATGAGACCGAAGTTTTCTGGGAAGCTCAGTTTAAGCAGAGTACCGTGAGGCTCCATTTTTGGATGCCATCTTTTTGTATTATTTCATATTATTATTATTCCAGTGGAAAGTGCAGAGCATTTCTGATGGTGCTAATCTATTTAATAACATTGCCCACTTTGTCTTGATCTACTTTGTTTGTATCTGTAAATGCTCCCACCCACCCCTTTTCCTGGGAGCTCCTTTTCTAGCCAAATTGTGTTTTTCAACTCCTTTGCCTTTTGCTCATGATTCTTACAATAAACCTAGCTAAAAGTATACAGCAAGGACTATGCTATAGGCTGGATGTTATGCTATCTTGATGTTTTCTTTACCAAATAATTAGTCCCATATTTTTAAATTCATCTTTGCTCAGATTCTCAGGACCTGCTTAGACATAATTCTTTGCCCAATGGTAACACAAATGGCATATAGTTCAGTTGCCAGTAGAGTCCTCTTCTAGCCTGAAAGCTCACAAGCTAAGATTTTACTGCACGCATTTCTCTAAGTGATGTGGTTTTTATATTTCTATCCAAATCACCCATTAAATGATACTTACAGAATTCTTGAGTCACTGTAGTTTGTATCTTCAAACTCTTGCATACTCCTCCCACAAAGTAGTTCCAAAGCCTAGGAACCTCATGCTAAGTTCATCACAATGACAAACCTACTTCTCTGCACCAGACTTTCACTGACCTTCGTGTCTTTGACTGCAATACCTGATAGAGTCATCTTCAGAAAATAAGAGTTTGTTTTGGCCCACAGTTGAGTAGGTTTCAGTATTTGATGATAAAGGGAAGGCATGCTGGAGTGGCCCAGTCCATGACATAGGAGCATTTGACAGGGGCAGTCCCTTTGCCGCAGACCAGACTTCACAAAGTATAAGGAACAGGGGCTAGACTATAGCCTGTCAAATTCTGTTCCTAATGCCCTACTTGAGCTGGTAGGCCACCTCCTACAGGTTCCACAGCCACTGCAAACCATCGGGGGAACCAACACTCAAGACATGAGCCTATGGGAAACATTTTCATTTCAAACCATGACAGTATGTGGGCCATTCTTAGTTTTTCAGAAGGCATAAGTAATGTGTGTTCCTTTTTGTTGTTGTTCTTCTCTATATTGGTACTCACTTACTCCATTACCACTGAATGCAAAGCCTGTTACTTCACCAGGGTTTTCTTTGTACTTCTATTGAGCATAACTTGTCATATGCATGTGGGGTATTTTGTGGACTAGATTGTGTTGTCCCATTTATGTGTGTGTGTGTCTACCTCTTTGCCAGTGTTATATAGTCTTAATTTCTGAATCTTTTATGCTGTAAAATCATATATTACTCCTCCCACTTTTTATTATAGAATCATGTAGTTATTCTAGTACCTTTACCTCCCTAAATATATTTTAAAATCAATTTGTTTATACCTATAGAATGTTTTACTGGACTCAAATGTTTTTATTTATATTTTTTGGATCAAAAACTCTTTATCATTTGAGGTCATTGTTCTGCTTCTTACTGTTGCACTAACTTTCATAAAAGACAGAGATAATATTGATGGATCAAGGGATAACTCAAGAATTGTGACATTTCATGCATGGGCTTTTCACTTAGATTGCAAAGTTGTCAGTCAGAATTTGCATGGTATAGGAAATCAATTGAAACTTGAGCCCGTGAACATTTACTTCAGCAAAATTCTTAACTAATTATCATAACTATGTTAAGTTAGACTGCAGTAGGCATTATTATGAGTTTATAAATGGCTAAGATTTTTTTTTGTCTACTTACAAGCCCTATATTAGTAAGATATAGTTTATTGTTTACTGGCTATATTTTATACAATATCATCTATTACTTTAAATCTTTAATATAACCAGAAAGTTTTGTTATTTTATACATTCTTCTTGTAAACTTTACCATCCTAAGATAATTTTTTTTGTAAAACTGAAGACCTTATATATTTTATGTAGTTTTATGTTATTTCTTTTGAAAAGATAGAAAGTCTAATTTTGCTGTGACAATAAATGATATCGTGCATGGTTTACTTGTTGAAGGCCTAAATATAATTTTCTGAAAATAATTTTGTTCATTTCTTACTTCATCTTTAGCAAGACAATTAATGATCCAGTTCAGAAAACTATGTTAGATATACTGACTTCCATCTTTTAATGTATTAACATTAAAAATCTTGTCTCACTTTTTAATACTCTATTTCAGGAAGAGACAATGATTATGTTATACATCAAACCTGTCACCTATTTCTGTAAAGAAACTTTTATTAAAACCCAGCCACACCCATTGCCTGTTGTCTATGTTTTAGCACTACAAAGGCAAGGTTGAGGAGGTAAGACAGAGACTAGAAGCTAATCCAAATATATTTAGTGTCTGCCTCCTAATTGAAAAAAATTTACTGACTCATGTTCTATTTAATTTAATTGAGATATTATGGCATTAACATTTGATATCTGTGATAAATACATCCACAAGACTTTGTACGCAAAAGAGAAATAGGAACAGCAGTCTTTTATAAGTTTACATTATGCATGCATGATCATATACAGATTTTTAGATCTGATGCTTTTCTCAGATTAATTATGCATAATAATAATAATGATAATGAACAATATTGAGAACAAAAAGCAAAGTGATTGGCTTTGTTCACTTCTACTTGGCATGTTAGATCTATCACATAAGGCTCACTAAAAACAGTCCAAGTTTATTTACTAGGAAATTAAAATCATTACATATTACTTTAGGACTGATCACACAATTCTTTAAAGTCTGAGAAATAAGTTCACATGCCTTATAATTATTTAGTATTTGATAAGAAGTCAATTTTAACTTAAAAATTGTCCATTACTAGCTGCGGATTTTATTACTAGACTAAATTCAGTTATCTCAACTGTTTCTAAAATGTGAAGCTGCTCATTTAAAACATTTGAACTCTTTATCTTCCTCTCCTTAAAGTAACAATTTTTCATATTGCCATACCCCAAAACAACTTATAAGTATTACATAGAAATCCCACATATGCTATGTTCTGTTGATTATCTCAGATATACAAATTGGGTAACATTCCTGTATTATTATTTTTATTTGGTGGGAACTAAAACAGCAAGCTTATTACTATAAGTATCAAAATCTTTTATAGATTACCGGAAGTCTAACAATCTAAATGTTTGATTGTCACCTGTCCTTTCACATTTTAATTTTGTATTTAATAATTATGAAAATTTTAAATATTCACACTGATTTTTCTGGAAACGACAGTGATCAGCTTTTAGTTTGACTTCACCTACAAAAGTTTAATACTAAGATATTTTGCCACATGTGATTCCATTTAAAATTTTATTTGGCTAACCAGTAAGTGAAGATAAATGCTACCAACATTCAAGTACTTTCACTGTGACCATAGTGCAAGAATTCTCGTTTTCTGCTACGCCTTTGAAATGAGTACAAAACAAGTGGCTACTTTTTTTGCCTAACAAGCTTTTATTAAGTAGTATGTCTGAAAATGTAATTGAATTTGGAGAAACTCTATAAAAGACAAGAATATTTGCTCTCCTGGAGATATGAATGGAAGCAGCAGCAGCTTGAGAGCCGCTGTTGTATGTAATTAGGGTCACTAGATCTTACTGTTGAGTCATAGTATGCCAGTGTGTACAGACATAGAGTTTTCTGCTCGTGTGTTTTTCTGTTAAATCGCCATGTTTAAAAACAGCTAATTTTTCCATGATTGTAATGAGATTTACCCAAGTGTGACATTTGGAACAATTTTGTGGAGTATTTATCAATTGTCTCTATTATTTTTTAGTATCATCCTTTTTGCAGTAAATATTAAATCCCTAAAGTGCAAATATGGAGAGGGCCTCTGAAGATGTGAAATTTATTTGTAAACGTTTTAGTACAATTTAAAAATAATTGTCATTTACTAATATCCATCTCAATTTGTTCTCTAATTTACTTAATTTAATCATTGCCTAAATTCTGTTTTTTTAAGATATATCACTTAGAATGTCTTTTCCGTTAGTACATTTACTCAGTTCATCCATATTAACAAGCATTTCAGTAAACATGATAATTCTTATTTGAAAATGCATTTATGGAGAGGAAAAAATGTCTTTCTCTTTCAACTGAATGATTCCATAAAATATGAGAACAGAAAAATAAACACTCATCTAAAGTATGGTCCAATTTTGGTCAGCTTTTATATTTGGTGTGTTTGTATAACAGGTGCAGAAATAGATTTTCAGATTTAATTTAGTGTAATTATTTGTCATTGCTTTTGAGGAATCATAGTTAAACTTCGTAATAAAAAATGCTTACTTTGTTTTTACTTGTGACAGTGTCCAAAAAAAGAAAGGAAATAGTTTCTGTTCAGAATTGAAAGAACAGGAATAAATATCATGATGAGAAAGAGTGCTTCTATCACTGGGGAACTTTCTTCATCTAAACACATATGAACAATTGATCCTTGTAGTCATATATAGCAGTAAACATTAATAACTTAACAGTCTGAAGTCAGAGCAGAAGATAGAGAGCATTATTGGAAGACGGAGTCGAGCAGGTGCCACTTTAATATGTTCAGTGTCATGGTTGACTCTAAAGACTAGTCGAATGAAATTACTTGAGGTTCTAAAGATTTAAAAAGCGAACTCATTTTGCTGCACTAAGGAAATGCTACTGATCAGGCTTTCTGTGTCCCTTTTTTCTAGGCTAGAAAATATTAACCCTGAAGAAAATGACATGGTAAGCCATTCTCTGAGGAGATTTCTTGATGTCAGTCTTATATCTTAGAGGCTTAAGTTCAATTGAGTGGGTTTCAAGAACTAAGATGTGGGAAAAAGAAGAATTGACACACTAATAATGTACATCTTTGCTGCAATATGAAAATTCAATAACTTCACTCAGTCAATTTACAATTCACATGTGCCTATTAATTAAAACCCTATATTAAATAAAATATATTAAAACCTCATGTCTGACTAACATATAATGGTGTTGGTAGACATTACAGGAATTACTGAGCAGAATAAACAATGCAGACACTGGGATAGCTATTCAGAAGAATGGAGCTATAATTGTGGATAGAATCTACAAGACCAAGGAGTGTAAAAAGAGAATAACCACAGAAGAAATGAATGCAGTGATAGAAGAGCGGGATGCGGCTTTGTCTCAGGTAACTGCTTGTACCCAGAAAGCATACAGGTGCCATTTCCCTCTGTTTTAAATCCTGAAACCATGAATTTTGCTCAGATAGTCTTTATTTCCCTCTTAGAGTCTGATGTTATCATATAAAGAAATGTGTTTCCTTGTGACACTTCTCTCTCTCTCTCTCTCTCTCTCTCTCTCTCTCTCTCTCTCTCCCTCCCTCTCCATTGTTCTTATCTGCTAATTCACACTAGTTTATAGTATATAATCAAGACCATATTTCAATATATTAAAATGTTTGAATTTCTGCACCACTTTTATGAATATGCATCCTATAATTTAGTGAATAATTTCTTAGTAAAGCAATGTTTTATAAAATGTTAACCTGCAATAAAATATACTTGCATTAATTAATCACTTTTATATTACATTTCTTATTTGCATTGCAGTTTTTTAAGTGCTAAGACTTTTGTTTGTTTTTTGGGTTTTTTGTTATTGTTGTTGTTTTTAATCTTTATTCCCAGAGCCTATGTTGACACATTTTGGGTCAAAAATTAGCATGTTATTTGATGAACATACTTACACCTTCTTGCTTTAATTCAACTCTGATTTTTTCCTTGAGAATACTGGGTCTGTCACAATCCTCTTAAGGAGTTTCAAGTTCTCCTCCACCACAGTTACACCACTGGGCCTGCATGCTGATTCCTCCTCAGTGTGTTTTGGTCTTTGTCCTTCTGTCCTTACCAGGCACAACTTTGAAATCATGCACAAGACGACACTGCTCATATACCCTGTGGCTGCAGTTAATACATATATGATGTTACAGCCCTTGCTTTGTGATCGTTTCAGAATCTGTTTCACTGTTTCTTTCTTCCTTCTACTCCTGTCAGTATTACCAGCCTCTTATTTCCTCTGCCTACTGTGGGCCACGTACTCTTTATGCCATTTTTCTTATGCTCATATTCTGTTCTGATTGTTACCACTTTCTAATTCAAGTATCTCTACTTAGGACCTCCAGCTTTCTTAGTTCATTTTCTCCGGAGCTTTATTCCAGCAAGTTCTCAATTTCACTAGTGCTGTTTCAATGGATCTTACTGACTCTTTTTTTAATCCCAAATTCTTCATGTTTGTTTCTCACCTTATCTATCTTAGCTTCCTTGGCTCACCATAATTATCACTAACTTTCACATAATTTCAGTTCTCTCTTCTTTTATCAACTAATTTTCTTATTTAACACTTTCATACATATGTATACTGCTTTCTGATTACTGTTATCTTTACCTACTCTTATCTCCTTCCAATCCCTATTTACAACACCCACTACCAGTTACTTTCCTAGATTCATGATGGGTGTGTGTGTGTGTGTGTGTGTGTGTATGTGTGTGTGTGTGTGTGTGTGTGTGTGTGTGTGAAAAAGAGAGGGTTGGAGAGAGGGAGAGAGAAAGAGAGTTAGTTTAACTAGGGCTATCTGTGTTACAAATGGATTAGAACTACCCATTGGGGTATGGTGATGGGGTCACAATATTCTCTTTCTCTTAATCTTTCAATAGTCAATAACTCATCAGGGAGGGATAGGGCTCCCTGCATCCACTTTTCTCATATGTGATTATTAAAGAGCCCATTCTTGTTCGAACCAGTGCAGTCATCCACGTCTGCTTTGGGTTTCTGATTGGAGCAACTATGTCTTACCAAGACAATATTTCACAGCAATTCTTCTTGTGTGGGAGTCTGTGAGAGTCCAGCTCCGATCTGCTCCACCTTTTGAAGGGCTCTTATGTGGAGGACAGAGGAATTAAGAAATGATAGATAAAAAGAGAGATCTAGCTGATGAGAAGAAAGACAGAAACACAGGATAGCTTCGGGAGGGCCTGCGTCAATACCCACCAGCCTTGGCTTTTATTGAAAAGGTCTTTTTATAATATGCCAAGGGGAGAGGCAAAAGACCTCCCCCTTGAAAGATCAAAGCACACCATACAGCCAAGTGTAGACCCTTCCAAATACCTGGTAAACACACCCATGGCCAAATTATCTCCTTATACAGCCCTGCTCGGTAAAGCAAGCTCAATTCTCTGACCCTGACTAAGTTTTCACTAGCAAGCATCTGTGGCCTCTTACAGGTCTCTCTTCTTAATAATACAAAGTGAGGGTACAGAGCTTAACTTTATTCAGCTCCAAATCAGCTTTTTACTAAGAGCTTACAAGTAGCCGTAATTATCATAGCTTTACTCCTGTTCCCTATGGATGCCACACTTTCCAGTAAAGGAATAGAGGATGATAAAGATAAAATGGCATTTTTGAATGGGTCTAAGATGCCTACAGCTGTCTTAACTGCACCAAGCCCTTTCTTAAATCAATAAATTCCTAATGCAACCACATCAAATAAATCAGTAAACTCCTGATGCAACCGCTTCAACTAATCAATAAACTCCTGATGCAACCACATCAAATCAGTAAACTCCTGATGCAACTGCTTCAAATTAATCAATAAACTCCTTATGCAACCATATCAAATCTATAACTTCTTAGTATCATCATACCATGGTTCATCAACATTAACAGGTTAACATAATTCTAGCATGAATATTACTATAAATAATTACAATTCTTACAAACTTACATCCAAAAGCAAACTCTCAATAGAACTATTTACACTTTACAAACTTTAACAAACATCCAAAAGCAATCTCTCAATAGAATTCTTTGCATTTCTTGCTAACAAAACATAGGGTTCATTAACACAGGCTAACATTAATCCACTCAAGGAACAAGAAACTTTTTTTAAAAAATTAAAGAGACTGAGGAATATTAACTTTCCCTTTTCTTTATAATTTTTTTAAGCTTCATCTTGAGCCTGGGTAGAAAAAATAAATTTATCTATTCCTACAAAAAAAAAATTCCACTTTTACACAAAACAGTTCATGAGTCACCACAGTTAATAAAACATATATGCATACACAAAATAATTCATAAGTCATCACAGTTGACAGATTCTATATTTGTAAGTAAAATCAAAACTGTCCCATTGCAATTGAATCACTCCTATCTTATTTCTTAAGTCTGAAAACTTCAAAACAACAGTTTTGATACCAGTCTTAAAGTTCCACTGAAAGCTTTCTGATACCAGTTGTAAAGTTCAAAATACAAGCAAACCCACAACCATTTTTTTTTTTGCAGTTTCCTTGAATACAACAATTCAGTTCAAACACCAGTCTCTGAAACTTCACTTTCAGTTACAACAGCATTTTATGGCAGTCTTACCCTAGGAACTCTGCTACATACAGGGAGAAGGTGGCTGTTACAGTAACTGAGCCTCTGAAGACCTTTCAAAAGAGTTCTCCTTGCAGCCAGCTGAACCAGGAAGCTGTTTCTTAAAGGAGCCATGTATTTGTCTGCCACCAGCAAACAGAAGGTGCCTGACTTTAGCTGCTGGCTCCCAGTCTGCTTTTTTTACAGTCCTGGTCTGTCTCTCATCTCTGGATCGCCAGCCCAGAGACCCTGTGTCCTGAGGCTCACTACTGCCTCATGTCACAAGGGCTCAAACTACCTCCCAGCTGCTATGAGCCGAGGCTCTCAATTGGCACCCAGGACTCTGGAGGAAACCCAGCTGCTAAGAACTCCAGCTTCCTGGGGTCTAGTTACCTGCCCTGCCAGTGGCTCTACATCCAGCACTCCAGTCCCAGAGTTTGTACAGCCAATTGCTTCACCCTGCTGCTGGGAGCCCAGGCTGGCCTCCAGCGAGTCTCCACCATTCAGCCTGGAGTACTGCTGCAGCACACTGCTGATAGGTACTCAGATCCTATATGTTTCATTGTTTCATTGCAGGGGGAATTTCAAAACCTCTGCTGCTCTCTCCACGCCAGGGCTCATCCCACCCTGGAGTCCTGTCAGGCAGCAGTTTTCCCCTGGGTCTTCCACTTCTCTGCCACTGTTCTGCCCTTGGGGATGCTGCTGACCACCACAGGGCTTCCTGCTCACTGTTGCTTGAGGTAATCAGGCCTACCCCTGTGTCCCTAAAAGCACACACACAGACTCAAAGGCACATGTTCCCAGGCCCTCCTGGTGTGCACCCCAGGGCATCTTTCTCTGGATGTTTTGTCTCTTGGACAGCTCCCACTGCACTCTGTGCTCTCCAGCTGCCTCATGGCTTTCTGGGGGTGTCCCTTGCTGGGCTCTGGCCTCAGGGGACTCTGGCTCCTGGTGACAGACCTGCTCTGGTCACTGGGGTCCAAAGTCTCTGCTGCACTCCAAGCCACTGATGCTCCCTGAGGTTTTCCTCTAGCAGAGCTGCTGCATCTCTGCTTGGCTGGTGAAGGTTGCATGTAGCCTCAAGCCAGCATCCAGCAGGCTGACTGCTGGCACAGCCATGGCAGGAAGTGTGCAGAACCCTACTGTTTGTGCTGGCTCTGGGAGTCTGCTGCCTGTTAACTTGATGATCCCCCCACGGGTCTTGGCTGCTGGTGCCTGGCTGCTGCTGCTTGTGGTGGGGGCTTCTGAAGCTGTCAGTCTCTGAAGCAGCTTTTTGTTCTCAGACTGCCAGGTTAGCAGTGTCTGTTCTGTCCTGGATGCTGCTTTCTATGTCCCAGGTCGTTTCTGTGCTCAGGGAAGAACTACTCTACTCTAAATTACTTTATATTAAACCTTCACCATATTCCTAGCCCTAAAGCATATATTCTCCACCTTCACCAAAACTTTTTTACAGATTTTGTTGCAGCCTAACTTTAACTACTCTGCTTTTACTCTTGGAAGATTAGAATATCACCACCTCCTTTAATTCATTACCAGGCCTGCCCCCTGCTCCGTGATGTTCCTTCTCTTTGTCTTCCATACCTAAGTCCCATGTTCAGGGCGCCATCTGTGGGAGTCTGTAGGAGTCCAGCTCTGACCTGCTCCCACCTTTTGAAGTGCTCTTAGGTGGAGGACAGAGGAATTAAGAAATAACACCAGAAAGAGAGACCTAGTCAAGGAGAAGAAAGACAGAAACAGGATTGCTTTCTGAGGGCCTGGATCAATACCCACCAGCCTCATCCT